TTAGGGCTGTGTGGGGTTGTAATCCCGCTAATTAATATTATTAAGTCATATTTCAGTTGTTTATTCATGTTTAAATTATTTTTGAAAAGACGAGTTGGGTTAGTTGGCTGGCCTTGCCTTCACGGGAGGCGCCATCCCGACCAGTGCAGGGTTTGGATCGTGACATAAGATAAAACATAAATAATTATTGGAACCCGTGTTCTTTTGTTTTTATTTTGGAGAAAGAACATGGAAGGTATATATTATAGTTATAATACATATTTTAAATAAGAAAAGATTTTATACAAGGTAAAGAATCGTAATTGAATTCAAACTCCTAAATATTTAGAATTTCTTACATAGTTCAAATAAAGAAAATTTTAATAATCAAAATATTTATTTATTTTAAAGTCATAAATATTATTAAAAAATTAAATGCTAATTTTGTTTGATATAATCTATTTTTTGAAAGGTAAAAAAGAAGTTGTCCAATTTGTTTACTTGTTGCTGAAAGTCCTTAGTTGGAATCAGTAACGGTATCTTTTTTACTTAAACTTTTTGTGTGGAACATATTGAAATTGTCTAAAAGCTTATTAGTTTGCATATTAAAATTGTCTAAAAGGTTCTTGGTTTGTTGTACTTATTTGTATTAAAGTATGTAAATATAATAACTCAAAAGGCGTTAGTCCAAAGTAAGATAACGGAAGAATTAATAATATTTGTATACTATAGAACAAAAATAATACGCTTGGCTCAAAAAATAATAAAGAAAAATCTAAATAGATTGTGTTTTTCCCCCTTACCTGTTCTCCATTTCCGCTCCTAATAGATTGTAATGTCCAAAAATTTAGGGCTTCCAACGCATCTCGTTTAAATTAGGAACATTTTTAATAATAAAATATATAGTAGCTTTCAAAATTGCTTTCAAGATCTAAATATTAGAAAACTAATTATATGACAGTTTTGTCCAATATAAAATTAATTTTAAGGGTAAAGAAGACGAACGATATTTCGTTAAAGGCCTTCGTGCTTTTAATATAAATATAGATATATCTCCTAATTCTAACTACTGATTAAAGGTTGATAGTCACACTCTCATACAACCCGTTTGGATTGGCTTTAAAAAGTGACTTTTTAGCAGAAATAACTTTTAAACTAAAAAATAATAAGTTGGGATGACCTAACTTATTGCTTTTTGGCTTGTTTTAGAGCTGCCTTTGTTCATAAGTACTTTTTGAAAAAGTACTTTTGCAAAATAACAATTTGTGTTTGGCTAATTTGTTTGAGTAGTGCTTTTTGCAAGCTCATTGTGTTTGGCCAATCTTATAAAAAAAAAAAAACTTTTTTAAGTATCACATTATGAAAAAGGACAGTAAAGGTTCAAATTTTGCGATTAGTATTATTCAAGAAAAAAATAAATTAAACATTTATTACAAAAGAATTTAATTAAAATATAGAACGTAAAGTAAAAAATATAAATTAAAAATTCCAATCAATATAAAAAATATAGTTATTCCAAATTAATAACATTGAATGTTTGGTATTGCTTATTGTTTACATGATACTTTAAATATATCAAAATACATCATTCAATTGAAATTTAAAATCTACTCGTAGGAATCGGAGAAGAGAATAAAAATATGAGTAAAATAAAATAGAGAAAAAAAGTATGGTTGAAATAAAAAGAAAAATGTTAAATTAACGAGAGATAATTTGAAGAATATAAATTTATTGTAAGGCTATTTTTATCTTGAATAAATTAGTTTTCTACTTCTGCTTCTTGGAAGAATATAGAATTTATAGTTTTTCCCCAAAAGCAGAAAAACTGTTTCTCGTGCTACTCAAAAGTATTTTGTTTTTCATTTTAGCCAAACATCTTAAATTTTTCAAAAAGTACTTTTTTGAAAAAAAACAAAAGTGTTTTTGGCGTCCCAGAAGCTTGGCCAAACAGGCTATTAAGCAATCTTTAGCTTTGTCAAATATTGAAAAAGCTAAAAAGAGTTTCAAAGCAATTTGACCAGCTACATAAAGGGCCTAACTGTAGTTTTACCAAACTAAATAGGAGGCAATTGCAATTTATTCATCTTAAACTTAGCTAGCGTTTGACCATAGATCCCAAATTTATTTTGAAAAATCTGATTTGGGTGAAGTTTGATTTGAAGATGAAAAATGTGTTTGGACATACGTTTTAAAAATATATTTTCCAACTTTATTTTGGAAAAATATGTATATAATTCCCAAGTTTTGGGATTTTGACCCAAAATCAGCTCAATAGCTGATTTTGAGATTTGAAATTTGGGATTTTTGGATTTGGCCAAAATATGGGCAAAATTTATGCCCAAACATGAGTTTTGAAAATAAATCCCAAATTTATTTTGGTAAAACTCATGGCCAAACGGGGCCTTAAAATGTGCTGGCGCCCATTTAACACGTGTATACTTCTCTCTTCATTTTCTTACAAAACTCAACAACGTAAATCCCCCATTTGAGAAAACTGAACTATTGGAGTGAGCACTTCACAGTTTGTTCTCATCAGGTTCTTCATCTTTCTCTCTCTCTCTTTTTCTCCTTTTTATTCTTTTTTACTATTATTATTTTTTTCATTATTAACACACTCATGTGCTTTTGTTCTGTTTCTGAGGTTCTGTAGAATTTTGAGATCAAGATTGTATTTTTATTATTTGGGTATTATTAAATCAGCTGAAATACATTTGGATTTTGCTTAAAACTTGATGGGGCTAACGCTATTATTGATGTTGATCTTCGTTTGTTAGACATAATATTTTGGATTGGTTTGAAATTAAGGCTTGATGTAAAAGTTGTTCAAACACTTAAGTTTCTTCATAAAAAATTGACCATTTATTGGGTCAAGATTGTATTTTTATTATATGGGTATAATTAAATCAGCTGAAATTCAATTGGGTTTTGCTTAAAACTTGATGGGGTTAACCCTGTTATTGATGTTGGTCTTCGTTTGTTTGACATAACATTTTGGATTGGTTTGAAATTAGGGTAAATTTCACAAATGGTCATATAAGTATGGCGTTTTTTCACTTAAGTCATATAACTTTGTTTTCTCACACAAAAGTCATATAACTATGACTTTTTTTCACTAAAGTCATATAACTATGACTTTTTTTCACTAAAGTCATATAACTTTATTTCTCACACAAAAATCATATAACTATGAATTTGTTTCACTAAAGTCATATAACTTTGTCTTTTCGCATAAAAATCATATAACTATGATTTTTTTTTATTTACAAAAATCATATAATTATGTTTTCTCATACAAAAATCATAGAACTTTTACTAACTCACACAAAAATCATAGTGATCGGAAAATATAATTTTTCACTAATATTTTCTTATTTTCAGCCTAATAAATAATAATCCAATTAAAATAGGAATGACTCAATCCGACCTGGCCCACCCGACCCAATACTCATATACATAAATTAAAATAATATTAAAAGCGAATAGTAAATCCTTCGAAACATGATACTTCTATTTTTTATTTTTTATTTTCGAGATTTTTATTCAAATTTATAACATTTTTATTTCAAGTGCTCTCTAATTATGGGGGAAGAATTCACTTTTAGTAAATAGGAGTGACCCAACTTTTAATTTATAGCCAGGTCGAGTTGAGTCATTCCTATTTTAATTGGATTATTATTTATTAGGCTGAAAATCAGAAAATAAAAATCTATAAAATAAGAAAATACTAGTGAAAAATTATATTTTCCGATCACTATGATTTTCGTGTGAGTTAGTAAAAGTTTTATGATTTTTGTGTGAGAAACATAATTATATGATTTTGGTTTAAAAAATTATAGTTATATGATTTTTGTGTGAAAAGACAAAGTTATATGACTTTAGTGAAAAAAAAAAGTTATAGTTATATGATTTTTGTGTGAGAAAAAAAAGTTATATGACTTTAGTGAAAAAAAGTCATAGTTATATGACTTTTGTGTGAGAAAACAAAGTTATATGACTTTAGTGAAAACAAGCCATAGTTATATGACCATTTGTGAAATTAACCCTTTGAAATTAAGGCTTGATGTAAAAGTTGTTCAAACATTTAAGTTTCTTCATAAAAAAAATTGACCAATTATTGGACTTTTTTTTTAATCTCCTTATTGTGTATCTATTGATGTGCTTAATAGAAGCAAAACGCAACGTGGTTCCCATTTCTGTTCTTATGATTTTTTTTAGAATAACAAATCTGAATAATTCCCAGATATGTGATTAGCGTTAGTTTGTGATTAGTGTGATTTTTCCTTTTGATATTAATGTTTATTTTCTACAGGTTCTTATTGCGATTAGTGTTGATATGTTGCCTTCTACCAGCAAAAAGCATTCTTGTGGAACAAATTTACCTCCTGATATGCTTGGCAACCTTCCTGATAATGTAATTTATGATATTCTTGTGTGTTTGCCTTTACGAGATGCTGTGAGGACAAGCATCTTATCGAAGAAATGGAAATATAAATGGTGCAGGATTCCAGAGTTGACGCTTGATGAAAAGCTTTGGGAAACTAAAAACTTTTTACCATCGTTTACAATTTACGCTTACATTACAAGGATTATCCGCCATATTTTGACCCTTCGTTCAGGACCAATTACCAAGTTTACCCTCGACATTATTCCTTATATTGAGTCTGAAAGATGGCCTAATATTGACAACTTGATATATTTCCTCTCTGAGAATGGCATACAAAAATTTGTTCTTAAACTTCCAATCAGGCGTAGCCGGTTGGAGCAAAGAAGGGGTAACCCATATGAGTTGCCTTCTTCGTTTTTCACATGTCAGCAGTTGAGGCATTTGACTCTCCATAATTCTTTGATACTTCCTCCACCGGAATTCAAAGGATTTGATAGGTTACTTTTCCTGGAATTACGTGATGTTTCAATTTCTTCCAAGTTACTTGAAAGTTTAATCTCACATTGCTCGTTGCTCAAGCAGTTGGTGCTGCAGATCATAGATGATTTAAGTGACATTATTGAAATTAATGCTCCCATGCTGAGATCATTCCACTTCACAGGCAGTATAAAATCTATCCGTTCCCTCTTCTGGCAGAACTTTCAGTTGAGTATAGTGATGCACGTTATTCGGGGGCAGAAAGTTGGGATTTTGTGGAGTTTTTCAAGTCTTTTTCTGCTCCCGAGCATCTCCTCTTGAATGTCGCGGTAAATGTTGCCTCCTGACTTCATTGTAATGCGTTTTCAATCTTCCAGGCTTCATGTCATCCTGATTTATCTTATTTTTTTCGTAGTTATTTGCTGATGCAGCAGGTGGTGTACCAACAAGGCTTCCCTTTAATATTAATTGTGTCAAACATCTCTGCATATCTTTTGTTGATCTTTTTGACTTGGACGTGGTTTCATGCGCTCTTTGCTTAATAAGAAGCTTCCCATATTTACAATATATGGAAATTGAGGTTCTCCCTTTCCTGTCTTATGTTGTGGCTTTTTTCTTTTTTTCAAACTATCATTAAGTTGAACTTTGAGCTTTGGTTAATTTTTCTTAGGTGCCTTATGAAGAGGATTATGATGATATGCCTGCTCTAGAATGTCTTGAAGTCGAACATTTCTCAGATGTGACGTTTAATCACCTCCAGGAAGTTAAGCTAATACTGCCTACTGGCCATATCCCTGAGTTGCAGCTTATGAAGCTTCTGTTAGCCAAGTCCCCGCTGTTGAGAAGATTGCTAATCGAGTCTTATCTAGATAAAGAAGATGCAGAATCTAGAATATTCGGTGAGCTAGCAGATTATCAGCATGCATCACCTGAAGTAGAAGTTTCCTATCAACGTCGTAAGCATCCATATTACCTTCCATCCTCTCGCTACTTCACTCAAACCATGATCTTTGGATAAAATGTTTTGGATGTTGAAATTAAGGTTGAAAAGAATGTTATATGCAGTAGTATAACACTATAATGCTGTGTTTTGCCTAATAATAGTCTAAACTTAATCAAGTCAGGAATTTTGCAGTCCCACCACATTTTGTTGGAAACCAGTTCCTAGCAAACAAAGGTGGAACACATTTTGTTAGGTTTATTTCGGATAATATATGTACTAAGTTGGCTGAACTTTGGTAACCAAAATGCCCTAAGTGGCATCTCTATGACACGTAATATGACTGGTTCATAGTAGTACTAATATTAGTATTCCAGTTTCTCAAAAAACATCAGTTTGGGGATGTTAGTGAATGTGGATGGTTTTGTAATTAAAATGCTAAGTGCTTTTACATTACATGCCTGTGGTTGTTTGTTTCAAACATTAAGGTTTGGTTGTTGGTTGCGGCGTGTTAATTTTCTTCTCATTAAGCCTTTTCTCAAGTATTTCATGTCTGTATGATAGAGCCATGGAGATTTGTTGCTATTAATTGTTCCCTAGCAGTGATATGGACCTTCTTTTGTTGTTATTTTATTTTTTTTGTTGGGTGGGGTGGGGGGTTAGGGATATTTCCCACCTAGTGTCCGGTACCCTAATTGAAGCCCGAGTATATCCGGATTCGCACCGCGAAGGGTCCCATTTGTGGGGAAGCGTTCCCTACCAAGAATTGTTATGTACCCAGGGCTCGAATTCGAGACCTTTGGTTAAGGGAAAGACCAGCCCCATCCGCGATACCACATGGTCTTTCGTTGTTATTCGCTATGCTATTATTAGTATTATTTATTTAATCTCATTTTCCTTATTGAGTTTAAGTCTGTCTTTCATGCCATAATGTGTTGTTGCTGTCTTCTTTCTATAGTGTGCCATCATTGGAGATAATTAACATGGCTAATTAAACTAAAATTTTGGATTATACCAGACATCATGAGTTCTCAAATTCATCTGGATGATGAAAAACAATATATTGGATCAAGTACCGTCAAGGTAAATGGGGCAAATTGTCAAAAGACTGATGAAAAAAATTCTGAGCAAATATTATATAACGATTTCTTATTAATATTTGATTGTATCGTGTCGGGATCAATTCTCCTCACCAACAGCCTTCTCAGTTAGAGCTCGTCGCATCATAACAATTCTCTTAAAATAAATATACTCCTACGCGTGTGAATAGGCATTGGATGGTTGGTTTTCGTAAAGCTCAAACTCATTTATTACTGCATTGTAAATCTAAAGAGCATTTACCATTAATAAACTCAATTTATTTGAATCTTTTCGGTTTGCCAAAATCACATTCGTGTGAATTCGAACATAAATTTTTTGGGTTTTTAAATAAAATTTATATATTTAAAAATTATATAAAAATCTCTATAAGTCATAATAACAATTCAAAATATTTAAAAATTATTTGTAAAAAATATGATCAAAGCAAATTTTATTTGACTCCTTAAATAGTAGTAATATGTTCATTTTTTCCCGAGACGGGGGAGAGTATGACGCTTTTGACGCTAATGACCATAATTATTTGGTGCAAAAGTTTTTCACTTTTTTCAGTATCTCTAGTGAAGACTATGTGGGCGTTTGGACATAAGAATTGTAAAATTCCAAAAAAAAAAAAAAAAAAGTAAAAAAACTTTTTCAAGTGAAAATGGTATTTGAAAATTAGAGTTGTGTTTGGATATAAATATAATTTTGGGTTGTTTTTGAAGTTTTGTGAGTGATCTGAGTGAAAATTTTGAAAAATAGCTTTTTGGAGTTCTTCAAATTTCAAAAAATTTCAAAATGAATAATCAAATGAAAATTGAAAATTTTATGGCCAAACATAGATTTCGAAAAAAAAATTAAAAAAAATTCTTATGTCCAAACGGGCTTAAATGAGCATTTGCGAAGTATCGGCGATAACACAGTGATCACACAAGTTGCAGGCATTGTGGACGATAATGTTAGCATTATTTAATCTTTGTACTGTTATAATTTGACATTATAATTTGGTAAGACTTTGTTTACAAACCAAACGACTCTAATTGATTACAATTTTATAAGGATAAAGATAATAACCCCAAAACAATAATTATTTTATCCCCTATATAGTTGAATTTGCTATTTCAGTATAAGTGATCCAGAGTATAATGTGATACTCCATTATTTTTATACCACACCACCAGATAACAATCACAAAATTAGTAAAATAACTAAATAACAAAAATGCCCTCCTGCAAAACTCTTCTCCCAAAATTCTTAAGAAAATTAAGGTTAAAATTAAAATTAAAAGATTATTCAAATTTATTTAGTTTAAACGCAAACACATATCTTATGCTATATACCTTATATCTCTTTTGTACTGATTTATTCAACTATGTTTCTCCGTTAATTTGGTAGTCAGTGCATAAGCTTTTTGTTAGATTCACCTTTATCGTCAATTCCTATCCAAATTCAACATGCATACTAGTTACTGCATTTCATGAAATCATATGGAAATTGATTCATTCACTCAAACTGCAGCAAAAATTAAAGTGTTAAAAGTGGGTAGCCAACTAAACAATATACTCCCTCCTGTGATGACCCGCCACGTCATCATGCCACATAGGCGCCATTTGGCATATATTAATGCCATGTGGAAGCTTAAATAAGAGGAAGGCTAACATTTGTGAGAAGATTCTAGAGAAGTATGGACATTTCCTTAGGAAGAACCTAGATCCTTATGGATTTGTTAGGAAAGTCCTTGCAATCTTCTAGGCTTGTAGAGAATTCTAGAGAGAGCCCTTATCTTGTAAATATTAAGGACTTGTGTAATAATTATTATTTACACACTAGCCCCTAGGAGACTAGTATATAAAGGGGGGCATTCATTTGTAATTCATCAAGCAAACAATTCAAGTTCTCTCTAAAACAAAGCTTCCTTTAGCAGTTCTCTTGTGTTCTTTCTACCATTCTCTTAGCGATCTTGAGTGTAGTAAGGCTGACTTGGCATAGCAAGAACGTGAGCAAGCTGTGCAAGATCGTGAGCGAGTTGTCAAGTGCCACACGTGTACTTAGTTAAGAACTAAAGACGTGACAACGTGGTATCAGAGCGAAGGTTTCAACTAAGGGAATGGCGAACGACGGAGAAATTAACGCTGCCAACGCCCAAGCCAACGTCATCCAGGATGCTGCTGGCAAGAGCGGCCGTAGCAAAAAGAGGAATGCCACCAACAAGAGCCAGGAGGTGCCACCTGAGGTTGTGTCAAACGAAGGGCTTACATCCCAAGAACCATCCGCCACTGAGGCGAGCGAGGATGAAGTGGAGGTCCTTCTAGAGGACGTTTCGCTCGGTAAAAAGTGGGTGATAAAGATGAACGCGGGATGGACGTCGTGGAGATCTTTGGCCAACGCTTGGGGAAGGTGAAAGGCACCTTTAGCGTTCTTGAGGGGCACACTCTTGAAGAGATTGAGAGTATCCAAAATGACTTGGAGGGACGTACACAGACTGGGATGGAACTAAGGCAAACCATCACTGCCTTAGAGTGCAGACTCATGGAGGATTTGAGTATTATCGGTGCTATGAAGGCAAAGATAGAGTCACTCGAGGAGCATGTCAATGCTGGCGTGACTGAGGCAACCAGCAATGTTGTGGTGACGAGGGAGGCCAAGATCGAGGCACCCAAACCCCTGGTGTTCAAAGGTGTTCGTGATGCACAAGAAGTGGAAAAATTCCTTTGGCACTTGGAGAACTACTTCAGGCACGACAAAGTGAGGGACGACGAGGCCAAGATCAACACTGCGGTATTGTACCTCTCATAGACTGCCATGCTTTGGTGGAGAAGGAAGATGGCCGACGTGGATAAAGGTCTATGTACTATTAGCACATGGGATCAGTTCAAAACCGAGTTCAAGCGACAGTTCTTTCCCAACAATGTCTTGTACGAGGCAAGGTGCAAGCTTAGGGAATTGAAGCAAACAGGGAGCATACGTAACTATGTCAAGGAGTTCATTTCCCTTATGCTTCAAATCCCCAACCTGACCAATGATGACTTATTGTTCCACTTCATGGACGGGTTGCAAAATTGGGCTAAGCAAGAGTTGCAACGCCGACAAGTCACTGATATAGACCAAGCAATAGTGGAGGCCGAATCATTGATGGATTTCAGGCATGACAAGCACGACAAAGGAAATGGCAAAGAGTCAAAGGTTAATAATGTCAAAGGCGGGGGAGATTGTGGCAAAGGCAAGGAGATACATTAAAAATAGTCCAAGACTCAAGATTCCAAAAAGTCGAGTGCTCGTCAGGGCCACGCCGAGAAGAAGTCAAAGGCCGAGAAGAAGGGATGCCACATATGCGGAGGGCTGCACGGCTTCAGGAATTGTCCCGACCTAAAGAGCCTCAGTGCCATAGTCCATGAACGAAAGGAGCAACCGCAAGGAGAGAGTTCGGGAACCGCACAGTTGGGTATGATCGGATTATGTGGTGCTATCACAAAGCAAGCTATCCAACCTACCGATAATGGCAATCAGTACGTGGATCTCACCATCAACAACAAGCCCGCTCGTGCAATGGTGGATACTGGAGCAACTCATAATTTCGTGACTGAGGCTGCCACAAAGAGACTAGAATTGAAGCTTGCTCCAACCAACTCTCGCATCAAGACCGTGAATACCGAGGTACAAAATGCTCGTGGGGTAGCTAATGGAGTTGGTGTCAAATTGGGAACTTGGAAAGGTATGACAAACTTTACTGTAACCGCTATGGATATCTTTGACATCATACTGGGGCAAGAGTTCTTTAGACATTGTCATACTTTGATCGACCCCTACCTCCAATGTCTCTTGGTTATGGAGCGAGAAAGAGCTTGCATGGTACCTACGATGACTATGCCACACGGACAGATTCAAGCACAACTCTCAGCTATGCAGGTTGTCAAGGGGATCAAGAAGGGGGAGCCAACATTCGTGGCAACCATTGCAAGTCTAGAGGAAGACAAGAGTTTTTAAGAGACACTACCGCCTTGCATAGAGAAGTTGCTTGAGGAAAACAAAGTTGTCATGCCCGAGGAGTTGCCTAAGCACTTGCCGCCTAGGCGGGAGGTGGATCACAAGATTGAATTGGATCCAGGGGCTAAGCCACCCGCATTCGCCCCATATCGTATGGCACCGCCCGAGCTGGAGGAGCTCAGGAAACTACAGAAAAAGCTGCTAGATACTGGTCACATTCGCCCATCAAAGGCACCTTTTGGCGCACCAGTATTGTTTCAGAAGAAAAAGGATGGATCGCTGCGTGTGTGCATAGACTA